ATGTAAAGAACTGGAAATGTAAAAACTGGAAGGAAATAAGAAGTAAATAAACTGGTTTTTGGATCTGAGTCTAGGTCCTGCATTCTGGGGTCTTCTCCTCTATTTATACTTCCTAAAGTTAATCGTCTAAATGGGCTTCCAACCGTCGAAGTGCACTTCCACGATCTCTAGTCATGGCTTTGCATAATCAGCTTCCACTACGCCGTTCCTTCAGTTATGAAATGACCCAGCTTTAAGAAGGTTTACAGCAACGACTACTTGAAACTACTCCTAGGAAAAGCGGTGTAGTACAGGAATTGAAGTGCTGAAAATGTAAAGAACTGGAAATGTAAAAACTGGAAGGAAATAAGAAGTAAATAAACTGGTTTTTGGATCTGAGTCTAGGTCCTGCATTCTGGGGTCTTCTCCTCTATTTATACTTCCTAAAGTTAATCGTCTAAATGGGCTTCCAACCGTCGAAGTGCACTTCCACGATCTCTAGTCATGGCTTTACATAATCAGCTTCCACTACGCCGTTCCTTCAGTTAGGCTTCCTTTCTGAATTCAAATTTGAATTTGTGATTAACCGTTAGGCCACGTCATCTTGCACCTTCTAGTTATTTCAGTGCTACGTAGATCCATTATTACCAATATGAACTGCCACGTGTCTGTTTTTGACTGGAGACCTATATTAACTCTCCAAATTGCCCTTCATGTGCCATGTGTCAAGCTACGATTGGCATGTACAAAATACATAGCCAACAATTTCTATTGCGACTTTAAAAAAATATACAACAATCATAATACAAGCATTTATTAGCATTATATTTTCTCCCCCTTTGTAACAAATTCTTTGTAAAAAATTCATATATAAATCATATTTCTTCTCTCCTTTGATATCATCAAAATTAATATATGAATTATTTTTTCAGTTCCCAAAACAAAAGTCATATAAACATGTTTGATCAATTTTTTTGAGATATAACAAATAATCTGATTTGACGAAAAAATATAATAATTTTTCTTATTTTTCCTATGAAATGTGACAACACAAGTACCATTAATCTTTCTAAAAATCCTATTCAGCTCTCATGCACTAAACACATTAAAATAATGCATCATGTTCTAAGAGATCATGTACTTAAAGGTGACATTGAACTTGAATTTGTGCCTAGACATCGTCAATTAGCTGACATATTTATCAAAACTCTTAATGAAGAACAATTTTATTATATTATAACTGAACTTGGTATGGTGAGTACTCCTATGTGATATTTACACTATTTTTAAAATTTGATATGTCTTGAAAATTTTGAAAATTTGATTGTATACTTGTAAGGACCCACATTCATGTCTTAGTCATATTCATGTGCATTCACATAACCATGTCTTGTTAAGTTTGCATTCATGAATCTTGTCTTGTTTTGCGTAAGTGTTGCTTGCATGCTTTGTTCCTTCCCTGCTATGTCAAGCTTAGGTCATGCCAAGCCTAGGTCACACCTGTGAACCTCTTACCCCTAGGACCATCTTGGAACCACTTTGGTTGACCTCTACCATCACCTAGGCATATTGGCCGAGATGTCATCATCTAGGCCGAGGTGTGCATCACCTAGGCCGAGATGTGCATCATCTAGGCCGAGATGTTATCATCTAGGCGTCCTAGATCTTTGATCCTTGCACCTAGTGATCTTGTTTCGGGACTGGAATGACCTAGACCGAGGTGTGGTACATCTAGGCCGAGGTGTGGCATAGCTAGGCCAAGTGTTGTCCTTCCTAGCCGAGATCATTGTCACCTTACTTGCCAAAGCTTTGTCCTTAGCCGAATTGTTACTTGCCGGAGTGCCCTTGTCGTCTAGCTTGTTGAGTACACTTTGTTATAGTCTTGTCTTGTCAATCTATCACCTTTTTGAGGAGAACCAACCAGCCGTTGCCACATGTCCGAGCTGAGTGTTAAGTCAGCCGGCAGACCTAGAAAGGTATCATTTGTTGTATGTCTTTATTCTTGAGGAGAGAGAAGCTCTAGGAAGAGAGGAAGAAGAGTTCTTGAGTGAGAGTAGATTCCAAGCTTGATCCCTAGAAATCGAACCGTTAGATCCGTGTTTTAAGGTTAGATTCTTGATCTGCTCATGTTGTTCTGTATGTTCATGTTATCGCATTGCATGATCTAGCATGTTTCATGAGCCATGCATTGTTTTGAAGTTCGGTTTTAGAAAGAGAATATGATATTCATATGTTCTTGAAGAAAAGTCATGATTTGATCCGAAAGCTTGCATGAAGATCCATGTTTTTGTGTTTGTTTTCCCAAGATCTTCAAGTATGGGTACCCAGGTCCATGTTTTTGAATTCATAGCATGAAATCTCAGATTTTGTAATAACAAGTTGTGATTGAGCATTCACGTTTTTCATGTTCTTCGTGTTCATGTTCTTCATGTTCTTCACGGGTGGAAACCCAGATCTCCAGACCTCACTTCCCTAAGTGTAGTCGCCAAGATCACTCTTATCTAGACCTCACACTTAGGCCAAGCATCATATCTCACCTTGGCCTACCTTGCATGATCACTTACATCTTTAGTTTGTCTTGTGCGCACCTCGGCATGCAGCCGCACGCCGAAGCCTTAGTAACCACACCTCGGCCAAGGGGTGTGGGACCTCGGCAAAGACCTGGTTGGTACCCAGCATGTCTTCCTGACATGTAAAACAGTGTTTTGACTTCCAGCATGTTTTCCCCGAGATCAATTGCATGCATGTAAGACTTGTTTTGAGAAGTACATTCAGTAGACTTTGCCATGTGTTTGTAGGACTTGGACCTTTGCCTTGATCCCGACGTCCCAAGAACTAAGTGAGTGGTATTTTTAATAAAGCTATGTTATCATGTTTTGATAAGCTTTGCTTTGCTTTGCTTTGAAAAGTATTCGATCAAGCATGAATGATTACCCCTATTTTGTGTATCAAGTATTATCTCGTTTTGATGACATTCTTGAAAGTCCTTAGTGCCAGGGGACTATAATGCAACTGCACATCTTGTCTTGAAAGTCCTTAGTGCCAGGGGACTATAATGCAACTGCACATCTTGTCTTGAAAGTCCTTAGTGCCAGGGGACTATAATGCAACTGCACATCTTGTCTTGAAAGTCCTTAGTGCCAGGGGACTATAATGCAACTGCACATCTTGTCTTGAAAGTCCTTAGTGCCAGGGGACTATAATGCAACTGCACATCTTGTCTTGCCACCGACGGTCTATGAACGGGTGGGTTTGTTTTGTCAGGAATGTCATCACCCCAAGTATTATGTAGATGTTATTAACATCCAAAGTAAGTAAGTTTTGTAAGATCAAGATTGATGAACTTGTTTCATCCCATGTTTTGTATAAGCTATGATATGTATGTTTTGCAAAGATCTCGGTTATCATTCATTTAAAACCTTTATTACTTATACCATTCACTGAGTATCCAAGCTCACCCTCTCTATGTATATATGTAGGTAACAAGCAAGAAGTCGGCTACGTCGAGATGTGTGTTTTGTATACATGTTATGTCGACAGTGAGGATGTCGACAATCTTGAAGATTTTGCTTCTTAGTTATAGTTCATGTATTTTGTATATGTCGACTTGAGAAGCCCTTTTGTTAAGATGTTATATGTATTTTATTTTGCTTAAATTCAAGTTGTAAAGCTATGTAAAGATGTATGCCATTTCATTTGACTTATGCACAGCTCTTATGGACTAATTAGATTTGTACATATTGCTTCCGCACATGTTAGCCCCATATGTAATACTCTGATTGTGTGTGAATTTTTGAAAGTTGGTCTTCGGTAATCTCGGATTACTGGCCATCACGGCACCATTCTACTAGGGGCGGAATGGGGTCGTGACAATACTTCTTGTCAAATGCGTGACCTGATATGATTACATCTTTTAAAATGCATTTTCCATGATGACTTGTGTTATGATTGGATATTTTCTTAAAGTAACAATAAAAATAGAGTAGTAGTAATCTTAATGAAAAATAAACTACAACATTTTTATGGGATCATTGTCTTTATAAATTCTCTCTCTCTCTCTCTCTCTCTCTCGCCCACTCTAGCTTCCTCTCATTCTCGGACACCACCTCTATCACCACCACCATCCACCAAAATCCATCTCCGATCCACACAAAATTCATTACCGATCTTCACCATCATTTTCGATTCTCACCATCATCGCAGATCTACACCATCATCACTGATCTTCATCGTCGTCATCAATCCTCAGATCCACCAGCATCGTTGCCCTATCAAAATGCTAAATTTGTTTTTGCAATGTGTAATTTTCTTTTATGGGTACACTACAAGAAATTGCATTTTTCGCAATGCAACAAAATATGTTGCTAAAAGGGAAAATTCGTTGGCAAAGAGTTTTGCCGACACACAAAGCTACGTTGGCAACCCGTAGGCAAAAGTGAGTTGGCAAAAGTTTTTGCCGACGAAATTATGATTGCGTTGGTAAAAGTAATGCCTTTAGCGACGAACATAGTCGTCGCTAAAAGCCTCCATCCATCGTAGGCAATTTACCTTGCGTTGGTAAAAGTCATTCAAATAGGATGATTGTGTGGCACTTTTTGCGACACAAATTTGCATGGGCAAAAAATATACTTTTAGCAACAACATATGCGTTGGCAAAAGTAAACTTTTGGCGACACATTTACGTCGGCAAATGTTGCCATTTGCTGACGATTTGTTTGTCGCTAAAGCTTTACTTTTGGCAACGACAAATTGGCATTGGCAAAAAATACACTTCTACCAACACAGTATGAGTGGGGAAAAGTAACTTTTAGCAACACATTTACATCGGTAAATGTCGCCATTTGCCAACGATTTGGTTGTCGATAAAGCTTTAGTTTTGGCAACGACAAATTGACATTGGCAAAAAATACACTTTTAGCAACACAATATGAGTCGGCAAAAATAAACTTTTAGCTACACATTTACCGACTAGTTATTTGTCGAGAAAGCTTCACTTTTTAACAACGACAAATTTGCAACGGCAAAAATAATTGAAACTCATTTATAATTTTTTAAAAAATTTACAGATTTACAAGAGGCATCCCTCAGGCACCACTATAACAAACTAATAACATGGATATGAAATCACACAAAATACCCCCTCCATACCCTTCTAGCCAAAACACCAGCAGTTGCCCGAACTTACACCTAATGACAACCCCCATTAATGAAAACCTGATCTATTACAGATTGGACAAAAAGTCATGCACCCTTCCAAACACCAGCAACACCAGCAAACATCCAACAACAACACAGCAGCACCTTATCGTAACAAACACCATCACAGCAGCATCACCACAGCATCTCAGCAACAGCAGCACCAGAAGAATAGCAGATCAGCAAACTGATTCAACACAGATCATCACCAGTTCAGAAAACCATTTCAACTTGGCAACCCAAACAAAATCATATAACCAAATCAGAATTGACGCAGCAGTTTACCTCATTTACTAAAACAGTCAGAAAACAAATCAAACAAAACCAGCAACAAAACAACTCAACCAAATCAGAAATCAGGACAAACAGATCGCATCAATCAAAAGCTGCATCAGAGGTAGAGCACACAGAACAGAGCCAATCAGCACCAGATTCAACGCAACACAGCATCATGCCACAAAAGTATCCACCAAACAAGCTGCATCAATTGTTCAAACAGCCCTCAAAACTATACAATTCTTAGTAACTTTTAAGCCATCAGGTTAACAGAAGTTGAGTTAAGTAAAAATTCTAACTAATTCACTGGCTGTCATGTTTACACTAGGAGAGTAAGTTATATAAAAACACTTAATTCAAGTACACCACAATGGGTTAATTGAAATCGATTTGGTTGTGTGTTTGTGAAACTATTTCAATTTCTGAATTGTACTTCATTTTTCATTCATAATAAATGATGATCTAGTTGATTTTTTTTTTTTTTTTTTTTTTACTAAACTTATAAAAAAAGGTTATAAAAAAAAATAACTTATAGATTTGGGTAAATCTTATATGTTTTTACTAAACTTATAGATTGAAAACGACATATAGATTTGGGTAAATTTTACTAAACATAAGTTTTCTATTTATTCTATAACTGATATATAGTTATCTGTAGTCAGGAAACAACTCCCACTTCTAAGAGAAAATGGACCAGCATAATCTAGAGATGCAATTTATTGATGAGCAATACAAGTCGTATCCAGACTTCGGCAGCAAATTTTCAACATATCTGAAACAATTATCAAAGCAACAAGCAACTTATTACACTACATCTATAATAGATATACGACAATGGCATTATTACCTCAACTACAAAGAAATAAAAGACCACCAGTAGAATGCCTTTTAGTCAGCACAAACTTTAGGAGAGACAGCAGATGCTGTTTTGCAGTGTAATATATGATACCTAATTGACCATCTGATGCAGCAGACTTGACTCGGAATGACATTTTATTAATATTTTTTTTCATAAATAAGTTTGTACCATATTGACAGCATTGGTAATGTTCACCCCATATACTTTCTCCCAAGCCTGTGCAAGAACAGGTGTGTCTACTTAGCAAATGGCATGTTAATATTTACATAACCTCAAAGCAAGTAAAAAAGCCACATAATATAACTTTTATATAAAATAAATTAGTTCATGAGAACAACCTTGATCAATGTGTCATCACCATCATTTCCATGACCATTGTGAAAGGACAATTGGAAATTAACAAAGTGAGTATCAGGTTGCTCCAAAACATTAATAGCTGCCACCTACAGATTATGGTTGTGAGAAACTATAAATCATGCAGATACAAACCTGCTATTAGATGTTGAAAAGCAACTGCCAGAAGTGGAAGAGGAAATGTACATGATTTGGCCATATCCAAAACAATACCCTTCAAGTTGGACAAAAACCCATCAGGCATAATTGACTCATCCAGCCCTTGATAGAGCGAAATAGAGGAAAATGATTCATGTAACTGACGCCACTTGATTCGGGACACAAGGCTTAGTTTGGTTTGGTTTAGTTTTAGCTTTGCAATTCACAAAGAGATCTCTATTGAATAAGAGTTCAAAGATTTGAACAAGAATTTGTTTAGATTAGAATGACAAAGCTGTCCACTTAAGGTCTTTCCAATAAAGTGATTAAGCTGAATAGGATTTTAGTATTTAAGATAACCAGCTTATTTTTTTCTCACATTAGCACTTCTACACTTCAATGCCTAGCCAAATAAGTCTTTTCTATTTTCTACTTCATAAAAACATAAGTTTTCTTAATGTGAACTTATTTCGTACATTACTTTATTTTATCAATAATGAGTTCTTAAAAAAATAAGTGGATAAGAGACCCATTTAAGAATGTGATTCTGAATTGAGGTCTACCTTACAGTATCAATATCTCAAAAATCATTATTGAAAGTCTCAATGTGTCCAAATTCGTTGATGAAGAAATGATTACCGAGTGGTGTTCAAGTCTAAAATTTTAGTATGCATTTAGCAGATGGTCCTCAAGTAAATGTCCTAAATGCTAAATCCAGCACAAGAAAGGAAGCATAATTTGAATGGAATTATAAAACTGCAGTTAGCATTTAATTCACCCAAAATCCCCATTGAACTTAACTTCAAAGTCAAGAAGAAAAGAAATTACTCATAATACACTTGAACAACACTAAGAAACTTACAACATGAGAAGACTTACCAAATTTTGAACAAAGTATTCAGGAGATGTTTGGTTTGATTATCCCTTAGCAACTGGGGAACATGATTCTTGAAAACCCTGTAAAATTGAATCCAACGGAAGGATGTCTAGTAGCAAGGTAACACAGTATCTGCTTAAGAAAACGCTAGCAAATTTCAGGAATGTCATGAAAAAAAAACTAACTACATCATTTACATATACCAACACCAACCACCAAAGCCTTGAATACCTATTGAGTTAGTATAAAAATGCATAGATCTTTGAAAGTAAACAAATGTTCCCATGTATGTGTATACATGTAAGCACATAACAAGAAGGGCTTTTAGTGTTCAATAAATTTTGCAGCTAATTTCTTTAAAGGCATGGGTTCTACAAAATCAGTTCATTGTCAGAAACAGAAAGTGCCAATCAGTGCCATGGTCTCAACTGGTGCCCATGGTGCAAATCAGATTATTAGCAGTCTCATCTATCAAGGTTGTGCCTGATCTAGAATTGGCAATTTCAGATCAAAATGCTTATAAGGAATGCTTCAGGACTAGAAATATTTAAATTTTAAACACACAACATAATCCTCAGTAAAGAATTGTGAACAATAATTTACCATGAATTTCCAGCAGCATTAGAAATAATGTCATAAATTATCCATGGATGAATACCAGCTTGGGCACCAAGAGAAATGGCCTCCACAGAAGAAACAAAATGAATGCCCTCAAGCAGCTCTATTACCATTTTAATTTTGCTGCAATTTAAAAAAGAAAAGTAGACATTAACAATAACATCATCTAATATGATATTAGAACACCTAACATAAATAAACAAAGAAAAAGGGCCATTCCCCTGTGCCAATCCCTGTTAAATTGGGTTAAACACCTAGCACAAACAAATTTACTATCAAGTGGCACAACCAAGACACAATTAAATTATCATTTGAAAAGCATTATTCAAAGATATGAAATTACTTAAATTTGTATTGGAATATTCAAGAATCATTTAGTTGTAAGTTTATAGTAAATTAGATTTGACTTGGTTTACACAATCACTAGAGTAATATTAGGTCAGGTGTTGTTTTCTGCGCAAAGCCATTAGTTTTTTCTTTTTAACCAAATTTTAATTCCACTTTTTGTTTCCAATATTTACATGTTATCAAAGCCATATCACTACTAAGAAGCAGCCTATCAGTTCTTGTATTCCTGTCAAGTAATAAAAATCTCCTATGGTTTCCTAGTGCTGTCTTGTGAATTTTCTAGTCTCCAATGGTTCAATAGCTACATGTTGAATATTGTTATAATTTAGCAATAAAAAGAGACAAAATGCTATATATTAGCAATGTTGCTCCAATGATGACTTTGCTCCCTCCATTTATAATCTCATTTCAACTATCATTTCAAAATAACAAGTACATGCTACTTAATCAAACTTTATTAACTTAATTTAGAGTTACATACAGCAAAACAAAATAACATAAGACATAATCATGGAAGAGGAAGAACATAATAATCTGAGTTGCTTGATCATGCCAAAATTTTTGTGCCTGATCGTTCATTTAGAGGTATCTCAATTCAGCTCTTGTGAAATGGATCCTGTTGTAACGCCCTCCAAATAATAACATTAAACCCATCAAATAAGACATGCATTGAGATGTAAAAGTTCCACATTCTTCCATTTATCAGAGTTCTATTACATAAGTATTACATGTTAACAACAAAAGCAAAATGCCCTACGGGCTTACAGCTTTCCAAGTTAACACTTGGTTACAACAAAAGAGTACTAACTCATCTACACATTAAGCCCTTGGCTTGAATATACATGTAATACATCAAAAAGAACTAAAGCAACAACAATCTGCTCACCTCTAGCCTCCCAAGCTATGACCTTGGAGGTGGCATGCTACCTGTACCTGAAAATGATATTCCCATATAGGGTGAGCCACAGCCCAGTAGAAATACACTAAACCAACCATGGACAATGACTAAAACATTAGCAATTGATAGTTGGTCAACACTGATACAATCACATAAATAACATATTTATGTCAACGACTTACAAGTCCCAATTACTTTTCATTAAAAGAATGAGATGCACCCGTGTCTATCAACACATTAACAACTGAGTTGCAAAACAGAAAAGTACCTCTCACTACTGATGGAGCCGGTACTAAATCCTGCGCGGTAACAGCATACACGCGCCCCGTAGGCCACTGGTCTACCTGCTCACCTCTCGGAGCAAAAGACTGCTGCACAGACTGGGATGACGAAACACTAAACCAACCATGAACAATGACTAAAAGATTAGCAATTAATAGATGGCCAACACTGATACAATCACATAAATAACATATTTATGTCAACGACTTACAAGTCCCAATTACTTTTCATTAAAAGAATGAGATGCACCCGTGTCTATCAACACACTAGCAACCGAGTTGCAAAACAGAAAAGTACCTCTCACTACTGATGGAGCCGGTACTAAATCCTGCGCGGTAACAGCATACACGCGCCCCGTAGGCCACTGGTCTACCTGCTCACCTCTCGGAGCAAAAGACTGCTGCACAGACTGGGATGACGAAACACTAAACCAACCATGAACAATGACTAAAAGATTAGCAATTAATAGATGGCCAACACTGATACAATCACATAAATAACATATTTATGTCAACGACTTACAAGTCCCAATTACTTTTCATTAAAAGAATGAGATGCACCCGTGTCTATCAACACACTAGCAACCGAGTTGCAAAAAAGAAAAGTACCTCTCACTACTGAGG